AGCCTTCACAAATCAAATGATAGAGGAATTATAATTCCAGTAGCATCAGCTGGAGTTGTCAGTCAATAAACACCCTTAGGTCCTATTTGTCCTAATCTTCCATTCATTCATTCATCCCTTCATGAGCATTCACATTGCTTGGTATGCCTTTCAAAAAGGGACTAAATTTTCTCCAACCACATTTCTTTTTTTTTTGTTTTGTTTCTTTTTTTTAAATGTTTTTTATTAAACAAAAAAAAACAAGATTTAGTTAGAAATGAGCAAAACGCACACACCCGAAATATGTCATTGAAATAAAAGGCTCTTTCAAAAGAAAATAAAAGTAGAACTTTGACATCTTACATCCACAAATGTTAATATTTTATTAGTAGTTTGCTATGTTACCCAAGGCTAGTACTGCAGAAAATCTATAATAAAATTATAGTTATATAATACAAGTCTGCATTTATCGACAGCCCTATTTCTTACTGAAACTCATAATTAGATTCAATGAAACGTATTCAGAAATCTGCTTATTGGTCAAAAGAGTTTATCTGTGTGTTAACAATCTCAGTATAAATGCAGCTATTCTCTGAAGAGCTCAGATGTTTGATTGGGAACATTACAGAGAAAACAGGATAAAAAAACAAAGAACAGAGTGGATAGGCCAGGGATGCAACTGTGGAATGTTAAGTTTCATTAGATTATTATTAGACATTTCAAGATGTTATGCATCATAGGAACTTTTCAGTCCTTTAATTGGAAACCTACCGGTAATTACACCGCTATAAAGCCACCAAGACATGACCATCCTCCATTCTAGTTAACATATTGACCAAAGAAGAATTAGGCTTACACTACTAACCTGGTATGTATGTGTCGGTGATTTTGGAGAAAAAGGATAACATAAGAGGATCAGTTTGCATAATGACAAGAGATGCTCTCATTTTAAAAAATGAATCTCTTTGATGTATATGCAAATTGCATTGCATAGCAGAAAACAGAAAAATGTAAAATTCCAAGTAAACCTAATTTCATGATGAAACATGGTGGTGGCAGTATAATGCTGTTGGGAGGCTTCCATTAGAGCTGATAAAAAGAAAACCTTTCAGAAGAGCAAATTAACTAGGCAAAAGTATGACCAGAAGAAAAGAAATGTTTGAGAATCTGAACAAAGACTTATTATGTTCAGTCATGATCTCCAGCAAATCTGACTGAGATACTTTCAAAATAAAATTATGGGGGGAAATGTCTTTCCTTCATATAGATCTAAATAGAGTTGAGGTGTGCCAATGGGACACCGAATACAATTTGGTCAATAAAATAAGTTGGAAAAGGCTACAACCTGGAATGATTGAGAAAAAACTTTTGGCACTTTATTAAAAGTGCTTAATGTAGACTTAAGCAATGTTAAATATATTAGTAATCTAACAAAAGCAAAATACAAATACCGTTTGATGATGGGAATAATAATCTTAAGTTAAAATTTGTAATATTATCTATGTGACATATTTGCGGTTAACTTTAGATTCCAATTAACTGAGCTTGACATGTATATCCATGTTTTCTCTTTGACAGGATTTTAAAGTAAATTGAATTAAATGTGTTAAGTTTGCCATAAGAATTAGGATATAAACCAAAATGCATTTCAAATTTTAAAAAAAGGAAGCAAGACATAAAAGAACCGAGATGATAAGTTGTCATATCGGAAGTTAAAATACCAGGTATGCTAAAGAATATTTATTTTATTGTGAAAAAAAAAAGAGAGAGAAAAAAGTTTGAAAACTTGGTTTTAAAGCTTTGTATTTAAAGTCCTATTACAATCATTTAAGCTTAAGACAAGACTGGGTTTTAAGTGTTTATCAGTGTTTATGATTTGTTTACATTTTTTAAACACAAAATACTTAAAAATAAAAAGGTTTGATTAAGCAGTATTTTTGGACACAACATGTCTTTGGACAAATATTATTATTATCTATAAACATGTTTGCTAAACTTCTCCCGTTTTAAAAACAGAATAAACCTTAATACGTTACTTTTACTTTGAAAGTGATTATAACAGTTCACATTAATTAGTACAGCTTATTATAGTAATAGAAAATAATTGAATATATTCTTTGTGTTACAGAAATGAAAAGCTTTAATTTGCAGATTTTATTTATGGAACTGTGCATGTTATTACATTTATATACATGTCATCCACTCTAACATTTTCAGCCCCCATGATCATGTCAGAAATCCATCACTCACTGCACACCATTAATCCACAATACACCCTTACTTGAGAAGCCTGGACAGCACCTCTTTGCCAGTCTGAGTCCACAACTTTGGCAAGAACAGCCTGACGCTCAAGTGGAGGGAGATGGACAAAGCGGAGACACAATCTGAGGACATTTTCATCAATTTCTTTTAGAGATTTTAGGTCTTGAAAGCAAAGAAGCAGGTTTGAAAAGTCTTGCTGCAAACAAAGGAGAGTAAAGGTCTGTCACATTCTCTGTGACAACGCTAGCATAAGCTTTCCATGGAGACGATGCAATTGCTCCTATTATTGGATTTTTAAAATGTATTTTCCTAAATAATTTATTGGTAATCTCAAGCAGATTTGGCAAAAATAAATAAAATGGAGTGAAGTTTCTAAGTCCTCAAAGGTTTGGCTTATCTTTTTGATTTAAGAAAATCACAATGAGCGATGCAACATTTATATAACAGGTAAATTATAAGTAATAATTTTTTGGAAAATTTGGAAAACATTTAAAAATTAATCTTTCAAAAAGATCAAAAAGTCTCACTGCAGCATGCATGGTTGTTGAAGTGGTTTTGAAAAGGAAACTGGAGAACAGAGACAGACTACCTTACTTTCCAGTTCAGAACTGTGTTCTTTGTCTGGGTCTCTCACCACATTCTGTCTGACTTTCTTGTTGTTCTTTGTTATCTGAATATCATTGTTGATTTTGCAAATATTCTACATGAAAATTATTCCAATTTACCTATTTACACATAATTAAACACTTTGATAGCTTTTTAAGGGCCTAATTCTAATTATTTGTTTTTTCATCTTTAAAGTCCTTTGTGCATTTTACAGCAAAATAAAACAAACAAAAACAAAACATATACTAAAAGATTGTCTCTCAACAAGAGACACAATGTGAAGATGAATTAAATGTCTGAATTACCACCTTGTTAGAGGAACATGTAAAAATACCTCTGCCCAAATTTCAGTTGATTTCATCTAAAAATGTTCACTTTAGCTTCACATTCATGTTGATAATTTTTTCCTCTGTCTTTCTTGTATGTCTGTCCGATACAGCTATGATGAGCAGGATGTTTACATTTTAACATGAATGTTCTGTCAAGTTGTATGTTTCAGTATACCGTATGACTTTTTAAAGTCATGATGCTTATTTTCAATGTTCAAGCAATGCAAATGAGTCACATTCCCTACAACTACCAATATTCAAAACTCTTATTGCCAAAAGTATTAAAGCCTATTCTGTATTGATGTACTATTATAAAGAAACAGTTGATTTACTTAAATGGACATGTAAACCTGCCTTGAAGATATTTTTCAGGCTGATCATCTCTTTTAAGACGCTGCATAAGGAATGTTTCTCATAAACATTGCTCATATAGGCTGCAAGCTGCTTTAGTGGTATTAAAGATTCTGAATTTGGAGAAGGAAACACAGATATTGATGGATAACAGATTTTATATTTACATGTTTTGCATACTGATGAGTTACTTAAGATTTTTAAGGGGGATATACACTGTCAGTGCAACGCATAGGTTACGCTCTAGGCAGTTTTCCATTTGAAACGGTTAAATGATTTAGAGTGGATGTTAATATGCTCATTCAACACTCATATTATGCACATAGATATGGGGCACTGTTCTTACTTTAGGATGAGTTAGTTGAAGTTCATAACTTTCACACATAGTGATGTTTATTTACTTAGCAGGTCACAAAGCTCATCTTTGCTCAGAGCCCCGTTGGAGCATTCTCTTCAGCGTCTCAAGTAAATTTCAGTTTTCAAACATACGAGCTGCTTTGCTGCTCTGACGCGCTGTTACGCGTTCTGTGTATTTAAGTTGGCCTTGGAACTTTTATTTATTTAATTTATGGCTTAAAATATTAACCCATAAATTATTGACTTTGAGATGCAGAAAGTTAGATGGTTTTGCTGGTCTAATTCAGTTATACTGCCCAATGAACTTTTTGCCAGATAAAGCTGTTCTGCACACGATGTAGTAGTTGTCACTCATTGGATGTATTCTTACACATATGACCCCAATTTAGACCTTTACTTTGGCTTAGACGCACATCTGTCAGAAGATGAAATCTGTGCTTCTAACAGCCACTCTTAAGGTTTAGATATTTACACAGGTTGTTAAACCACAGATGGCATAATCAGACAACTCCTAGATTGCTCTCTTCCTCCAAAGACATCTTTAAATCTACGGTTCTAACTGTAAATCTAGGTATGTAATTAATTAGTATGTGCTAAAAGTACTGTGTTATTAGCATACTGTATAAGTGTATGTACCTGCAATTCCAACCACAACTAAAGTAAATCCTCTTTAAATCCAAGGGTTTCATGTGTCCAAAGGTCAGATATCTGTATTTAATAGATAATGGAGGGTTATTTGAGGTTGTGGCTGCTTAGGTCAGAGTTTAGTTTTAGACATTGCAGAATAACATATAAGACTGAAAGAAGGTGCACTTTTTTTTTTTTTTTTTTTTACAAAAGAGCAAGTGAAACAAACAATGATATAACTCCATAAGAGATTAAATGAAGTTTTCATAAAAAAAAATACTATACAACTCTATTCAACAGGATTCTAGAGGCTCTGTGTTTCCTTTTCTCTTTGCATTTAGTTCATACAGTATATTAATTATACAAGGAAGGTTACAAAGTCGTCTTTGTATATCTGTTATTTACATCATTATTATCATTATATGCACCATGCAAGTGTGTACCTTAACCTGCATTTTTTTTCTAACTGATGTTACTTCCTCCCTGCAGGGATTCAGTTTCGTCTCCCTACGTCATGCAGTGTGGACCGCGCTCAACCACCTCCAGGTAGCAGAGTTATCTCCTCTGTTTCTCAGTTGTAATAAACAAATGGCTCTTAATATGTAATTGAAAAATAAATAAGGGCTAATCTGTTGTTTAAAAAAAATATTTCAAGAGGGATTTTATTTATAATATTTCTCCTATAACCCCTATATAGCTCCATATTCCCTATAAAACGGTATCTTAGTTTACCTGTTCACTAAAACTTAACACAGCTTCATTATAAGAATGAGTTTACATGATAGCCCCCTAACCCTGAATAAACCTAACAATAAGAGTACCAATGAAATAATGTCTGAAAAATGTATCTAATCTTCACAGCTGTACGAGGAGTCAACACTCTTTGGAAAGCCCAGAACAATTTTCTTAACCCAGGTTTAAAAACCTGTAATAGGATTTGTTTTGACACATAACCAGTTTGTGTGTTCAATCCGACAGTAAATGTTTAGATGATTTTGGGAATAGGTAGAAAAGGAGTTAATTTCTTATTAGTTTACCAAAAAAAAAAAAAAAAATATATATATATATATATATATATATATATATATATATATATATATATATATATATATATTTATATTTATATTAACAGTGTATGAGAAATGCTATATAAATAGTTATATTATGGGGAGTGTTGGCCTAGTGGTGAGAGCAGTGCGCTTGTGCTCTGAGAAGGTTTCAAGTACCAGGTTCAATCCCAACAGCCTGCACAATGGGTCCCTGAGCAAGACCCTTAACCCCACACTGCTCCTTAGGCACGACACAATGGCAGCCCACTGCTCCCCAAGGGGATGGGTTAAATGCAGGGAGCAAATTTCCCCATTGTGGGACAATTAAGTGATTTACATTACATTTACATTACATGTAAGGGATCCTTACTGTACTTATTTTTTAACAAGACAATGAACAGATCATCATAGAGCCTTTGTGATGTTAAGGCCTTATACAAAACCTAACCTGTTAAAAGAATAGCCAAAATTTGCATTCTGGTCTATCAAGGCAATCAATAGACACAAACAAGGACGCACATAAAATTGTCAATCGGTTTTAAATTGACCAGATATTCTTTCATTGATGGGTATGTTGAGGTCTTGCTGACTGAATAGAAGGGATCCAATCTGGGACCATAATCTGTAACCCACTGGAGTCCTTAAAATGATTTAACTAAGGATCTACTTTTTTTCATTTACGATTAAATTCCAACACTTGAATTTGGGTATCTGCGTATGCTGGTATTGTTTCTATACCAAAGCTCTGTTTGCTTTAATGTTATCATCATTATTGTTGAAATCCTCTCTGTAAGCACATGTTTCTATGTACACATGTATATCGCAAAAGCGAACTTAAAATTATTTCAAGGTCAGAAAAGTCGGACATAAAAACTAAATAATATTAGCAAAACAAATGCCATCCTGAAATCCATTATTCAGGATTGCAGTTTGAACCCTTATAAAGGTTCAAACTGGAACCCTTTATAAGGGTTCAAACTGGCTGCATTTACTAAATCAAAGACAGATGCATATAAAGGGTTAAACTTTTCTGCTCTTCAGCAGATTTTTAATATCACTTAAAATGATCAGATGAACCGATTGAATACATCAAGACCTGTGGATATCTCCCATTTTTACTCACATCCAATCTACTTTTTTTTTTCCAGTATCAGAGCTGATACTGTTAATAGTATCCAATCCCTGCATTTCTAGATTTAAACAAGATGGTAAATCCCATTGTGAATCAAACATGCAAATTCTGCAAAGACTGAATTGTTTTTCTACTATTGGTCTTTTTAGCTGCACAGTAGTTAGCACTGTTGCTCTCCAGCAAGTCCTGGGTTCAAATCCTGGCCTAAAGTCTTTTGGCATTGAGTTTACATGTTCTCCCCTTGCATCTGTTGGTTCTCTCTGGGTACTATAGCTTTCTTATACAATGCCAGAACATGCATGTTTTGTTTCTATGTGGCCCTGGAAATTTAGCAAGGAGAAGCGGTTACAGCTAATGGATAAATGGCCTTACACTATAAAACAATATGTTGTGAACATATTTCGGCATCAAACTCACTTGAAAAAAAACTGTGCAAGAGTAATACTTAAACACCTTATAACCTTTCTACGTATTGTGTTGGCCTACCTGTTTTGGTCCTTCTGGGTTCTGTTGGTTGATTTTTGCCCGATTTGTCTGGAATTTTTTTCTTGCTTAGTGGTCTTGCTGTTGTTTGGATGACTGGTTTGGCTTGCCTGGCTGTAGATAATGGTGTGGCAAGCTCTCAAAGGCTTGTAACACTCTCTCTGTCAATGTACTGTAGGGGTAGAGGTTGGATGCAGAGATGACTTTTGGTGATTTAATGAAAAAGGGCAACAAACAAAATCCAAGAACAAAATACCAAAAACCAGGAGACATCAGGGAAAACACACACAGGGAGCCAAGCAACAATGAGAAACCATCAAAGAGTAACTGCACAAGAGGCGTGTATATGAGAGACAGGAACAATGGGAGGACTAATTATCTGATAGGGAGCAGGTGTAGACAGAAGTAACCAGAAGGGAAAGGAGATTGGCACAAGGGGGCAACAGAGAGCAACTCAAAAAAATGCAAGACTGCTTAAATATAACAAAAAATGGAGAATAAAACAAGAAAACAAAGAATAACATAAATCAAAGTCAAACAGAAAATTTAAGAGGAAACTTAAACAGAAGTCCACAAGGGGAGAACTATAACACTTTCTTATCTTGTGCCTTCTTGGCCTTGGGGCTTTTTTGCTTCACTAATGGACTAAATATCTCTAGGGCGAAGGTAGCTTTGATCCTTTGGGTGATGCCTTAAATCTGTCAGCCTAGTTCTGCTACAGCTTTCAGAGCCAAGTCCACTTGGCTTTACTGCTCTTTGCAGGCCTTCTACTTTTCCCTAACAAATGTTCACCTCCAGGTAATACACTTGCTCATACAACCCACTTAACCCAAGCACATGTATTGCTATGCTTACACCCACCTACACACAGAGATAATCCAAAATGGTTAAAGGTCATCCAAACAAAGGTTACTATTACAGCAATGTGACCTGACCTGCCTTCTTTGATGCTATATTGAGTCACAATTTAATAAGGTCAATTACACAATTAGAATACTAATGTGATATATCTTACTTGCAGTGCAAAACTGCCTTGGTAGAGGTAGGCAACCAAGTTATCCATAAAGTATGTTGAAAATGCTGCAACAGGACAATAGGGAAAACGAAGAAAAATTATGCTTTTTTTTCTTAAAATTCCCCACATGAAATTAAAAAAAAAAGTAAAACCATTAACAGGAACTAGAAAATTTTGAGAACTCGGGTTCAAGGAGACAAAAAGAAACAGAGATACAAGACGCAACTGTCAACCAGCTCCACAGGCGGCCCCGTCCAGGAAACACACAGCCAGGTAGATGTGCTCCAAGCCAGTTCCCATATCAGAGGATGAAGAGAGCACAGACAGTTAGTCCCAGTAAGAGAAACAGGACTTCACTGGAAAAAAGAAACAAAAAAACAAGCTGAGCTCCAACATCTGAAAACAAAGGTGTTGATGGCAGCAGCAGAGTCGATATGGTGTCACAGCCAAACAGGAACAGACGAGATGAATCTACAATGATGAGAAAAAGCAGAAGAGAATAACATTAGAGATTGAACCAACAAATACTGAAGAATTAGAGAATAGAGATAGAATGAAGCAGAAAAATAAAAAGGGGTCCCTATGTCTTCCAGCAGTCTACAGTAAGCCTGTAGCAGCATAACTATAGAGATAGCCTGAGTAAATATAGTAAATATTTGCTACATCAGAAGTTAGTCAACAAATTTGTTTTCATTTCCTCTTCAGCGCATTTAGACTTTTAAAAAAAAGGGTCTAAAACCCCCTTAAATAAAAACATACTATGTTTAATTGAATTTGGCTGTTTCAATCAAGCTGTTCTATTGAGATGCTTCAAGATGAGCAAAAAAAAGTTGAAGAAACACGTTTTGTATCCCACTCCAACTCTTGGCAAAGCCATACCTCACAAATAAAAAATAAGATAAATAATAAAAAACATTTCAATCATTAGGCTCCCATGTAATGCTGTACTATAAGGAACAAAATTCAAAATTGGATTGAACAATTTATTCAGACAAATTTAAATTTAAATGTTTACAAAGTAAAAAAACATAAGAAGTCAATATCAATATAACTAAAGCAACATATGCTTACATAGTGCACATAAGCTAAATATAAATCTTTCCACCGAAATTCTTAACATTATAATAAATAAAATAAATGTATTATTATTATGTCACAGTCAGGAGAAAAGCTGTTTGTCTCTTTTAAATTAAACTGCAAACCTGTCAAACCAGTTCAAACACCACATTCTACTGTAAATCCTCGCAGCATTGGCATGATTTCAAAAGATAATTTAGGATTAAAGAAATAAGATAAAATATGTCTAAACTCTTCAAGGTATGAAATATAGAATTGTTTTAGTTTCTAAGCTGAACAGCAACACAATTTACTGAAATTTGTCTAGTTCTGTTTAGTCCTTTCCTCTCTGTATGTGGATGTATTTACTGATCTACTTTGTGCAATCATGCAAAGCCAAACAATCCAGTTCAAACAAAGACAGCACCAATGACCAAATGAAGGACAATAAACTTTTCCGGTCTATTTAATAATCCAATGTGTCAATCGAAACAATACATTATGCTATTGATGCTCAATGGTTGGGTTGTAGTTTTAAGTGATTTTGTTATAGTGTGCTAAGTCAGAGAGAGCTAAGACTGTTAGGGATGCAGAAAATAAAGAGCCAGCCATCCCATTCAAAATGCCAGAGGTCTCCTGACTAATCCCTATAGTATTTGCTAGTGAATAGTTGCTGACACTTTTAGCTCAAATTTAAAGGCCATTCATTGACAACTGGATAATGTTTATATTTAGAGTAGGCATCTGGTCCACAATAATGAACAACTTCACATTCATTTTATTACTAGAAGAACTGTTTTGAAATTATTCT